ATTTATTTTATAGTCCGATGACGGCCGCTGTAAAAAAAAACAGAAAGGGCACCTCGCTGAAATGAGACGAGAACCTCCTTGAAATAAGGTTTTGCAGGTTGGAATGTCTGGTTTGTGTGATATACATTATACTATTTCACTACAGATCCTGGATATGTTTTGCTTTTTCTTCACAAGGATTACACAATATTGTTTAGTTGATAAATATTAGGGATGTCCAGATACCAGTTCAGATACCAGTGCCGATACTTGGCATTTTCATGAGAACTACTAGGGTTGCAGCGGTTGCAGCTGGGATCTGGCTCTGGCACTCCACCACTGTCCTGAAATCATTAGCCTGTATTGTTTTAGAAAAACTGTCACATGACCAGACATCCCAACTCTCCCGGACGCTCCGGGAGTCTCCCGCTATTTGATAGCGGCTCCCGGCCGCCCGGGAGAGAAACATTTCCTCCCGGAAAGGTTTAATCTGCTCGATCGAGCAGAGTAAACCTTTCCCTGCGACCTTTTTTTTTTTTCTTTTCTGACATCGGGAGTCACGGCCCGACTGTCAGTCAGAAAAAAAAAAGGCATACAGATGCATAGCTAGATTCCTATTGGCTATTGGACTTTGCAATAGCCAATAGCAAACTAGCTTATGCACTCGCCCACTGCTGCTGTCACTCAGCAGAGGGCGACCTGAATTTTTCTATCAGGTCCTGTTCTGTCAGAATACTAAAAAAAAACCTGCAGATAGCAAATAAGTTACCGTATATACTTGAGTATAAGCCGACCCGAATATAAGCCGAGGTACCTAATTTTACCACAAAGAACTGGGAAAAAATATTGACTCGAGTATAAGCCGAAGGAATGAGGCAGCTACTGGTAAATGTACAAAATGAAGATAGATACCAATAAAATTACATGAATATTTATTTCAAAGAAAAACAATAACCTAGACCAGGTTGGGATCCCTGCATGACACTAAACAAAAATGTATCCATACTTGTATCTGTGAGGACTTGGACAAGTATCAGTACTTGTACTTGGAAAAATGGTATCAGTGCATCACTTATATATATTTATAAAAACAAATCATACATTAAACAAGAGATGTACAAATCCCAGGAGCTCCATGTGCTCCTTACAAATGACAGCTGCCTCCTAATTTTTCTCTAGTCTAGTCTTGGAGCTGAGCTGGAAAAGTATCTGTACTTGTACTGAGTACGGTACTTGGTATCGGTGCATCCCTAATAAATATTCGAATGATGTCTAGTGTATCTACACACATCAGCAATGCCTCTGATTATAGTAGACTACACACACTCTTTGTCTTCCCTGGAATGCTGCCATACAGGTCCCGGGCAGTATGTGGTAGGGTTGTATACCTTTCACAAAGGAGTAAAGCCTGCAGCTACTTTTTGACATATTGGCTCTCACAACATTGTTAGCAATACCACTTCTTTGGTTTTGGATAGAATTAGGCCCCTTTCACATGGATGGTCCAATCGGGTCCACCTGTCAGTTTTTCAGATGGACCCAATCAGATGCCCAATACTACTCTATGAGCAGCCAGGTCTAAAGGGACGGGTGTCTGATTACACCTGGTTTCCCCTGACAGAGTTCTGTTACACCGGACCTGATCATGCCGGATCGGAGGTAATCTGATGTTCGCTTAAAGGGTTATTAAAGCCATTTTTTTGCGCATATATCTACTGCTAGCAATCAAGTAGATATATGCAAAAACATTTTAAAAAAAGTTAACAAATAGGTTTAAATTTACCTGTGTCTCCGCCACACGCTCCTGTCCGAAGATCTGAAGATTCTCGGACAGCCGCAAAGAATCATGAGGAGGGCGCATGCGCAGTTCAGATCTTCGGCCAGAAGACGAGGAGAGACACAAGGTAAGTCAATGGAGGCAGCATGCACCCGCACAGACACCGTGGGACAGGAAGTGCCAGGAAGAGAGAGGAGTCAGCGCTGGATCAGAGACCAACACCGGCTGGAGGAACTCCTGAAAATGACAGGAAAGAAGAAGATGATCGGATAAGGAGGCACTATTTAAGGTAAGACCTTACACAAGCATTGGGGGATGGGGGGATGAAAGGAAAAATTTGCCCTTAATGTCACTTTAAGTCAAACTCCCCCATAGACCGACATGGGGTCCGGCAATTTTAGTTCTTGCGATGGAGGAAAAAAACTGGGTGGACACAAATGTCACGTGACATCAGATTCGTACTGCTCCGAACAGGAGGGGATCTGTGCACAACTTTTTTTTTGCCCACTGTGTCTCTATCGGCACATTTCCCTTTACGTCCTGTCTGAAAGCCACGACAGGAAGTGAGAGATTAGCTTGTCTCAGAGGTAATTATTCAGTTTTGTAGTGCTCATTTTTTGGGATTTAGCAAGACAGCTATCCTCTTGCGTTGCTGTCTATCCTTGTTGGAGGTCTTAGAATTGAGACTGTGGTTTCTCCTTTCCAGCACAACATGTCCTATATAGCAGTGGCTGTATTTAATAGTAGGATTGTTCTAATTGCCCCTTAAATTTATTTTGCTGTTTTGTGACCAGTGAATCTTAAAATCAGGCACCTACAACTTGCCTAATTTAAAATGCTTACCCTTTGATAAAGGCGTGTATAAAAGAAATGAAGGCCCCTTTCACATGAGCGTTACCAGTTCAGTCAAGGCCCACGGATACAAAAAACTGATGACAAATGAATCAGTTTACATCAGTTTGCACATCCGTCCTGAGTTCATTATACATCCATTTTTTACATGTCTGTTTTGGGCCTTTTGTTATTATAGTATGGTAAATTCCCATGATTCTTTGCTTTCCCCGAGCATGCATTGAGCTTGCCAGGCTGCATTACAACATCAGTGCCAAAAAATGGATGTCACCTGAACTGATGTAAACTGATCATCAGTTTACATCAGTCCCGGTCAGTCAAAATGGAGAGCTCATCCGGCTCAAATTGCGGACCTCAACTGACACTGATGTTTCCTGATGTAAACTGATGGTCATCAGTTTTCATCCACACTGCTATAGAGATGCATTGTTGTCCGTTTTTCATCTGCAAACAGAGGGCTGGAAACCTGACAACCTGAATGCTCGTGTGAAACGGGCCTTACTTTCTGTTTGGGAGCAGTGATCTCTCCGCAGAGGTCCCCTGCTGAGTCAGACCTATAGCTCTAAAATCAACAAAGCTCACTCTCCTTGTAGATCGGTCTAGCAGTCAGGTTTCGACACATTTGCAGTGCTATTGTGTGCGTTACAACACACATGTGATATGGTAAGCTATGTGCATTGGGTTGCCATCCAGAAGGATTGACAGTGCAATATAACACACAAAGACCCATGTGTTAAAGTGCAAGTGACAAAAATTAAAAATCGCTGGGCAGTAGGGAAGCTTGTCAGAAGCTGTGCAGTGCACACACTCTAAAGGTGCCCATACACCTTACAATTATCTGCAGGTTTTCTGTGGTCAGATGGAAAAGTGCAACAGATTCCTCCATCTACACTAAACTGTGTGGATGAAGGAATCTCCCATATGGGCCAAGCTTCAGTATCTTGCTAGTCGGC